TTTTCCGGTTAAGTCTGATACCAATCTTTCTACCCAAAGGACTGAAAGCTCAATTGGTTCTGCGTGGTTTCGAACTAGCGCCTCTATTGCCTGTATGGCGCGCATCTATAAACCCATTACTTTCTGCGCACTATTCTTTAGTAAATAGCTGCTGTTCTGAAGAAATACATAGTGAAGAAATTCGTAGATGAGAGTGAAAGCTGTTTCCTTAAAGGAAGTGAAGAAAACAGCAATGAATTCGACTTAAGCACAGAGATAGCAAAACAAATTCGATTGCAAATGGGCTGAGGATTTCTTGTCGATTTGTTTTTTTTTTCCTGTGTAAAGTTTGGAGTAAAACTTAGGCAACAACTGGAAGAGGTCTTGCTTAAGGTCGAGGAAAAGCTGGACGAGTTGACGAGACGATAAACACCGGTTATGTGAGCTCTTACAAGAATAAGGATACCTACGACAAAGTGCATGGTAAACACTGATCTCATCTCATTCTGTTGTTCTTTGTAGTCATCAAATTACATCACATGTGATCAATAATAAATTGATTAGTTCTCATTGAATGATACTTTATGAATAAGGTATTTCTCAGTTGATACTTGTATACTGTTCAAATAATAAATGTTGCAAAGTTGTGGTTGAAATGACCTGGATGTCCTGTGATATTCGTGATAAGACGCTGTGAGCGCTTTCGATCATGCTGTAATCAATAAGTGAATCGAGTTTGAGTGAATCGATTGAATCGATCGAATCAGTTGATATCTTTGTTTATTGATGAGCTTCCATGAAGTCGTTATAAATCTTTTTATGACTAACATTTCTTCGATTTAGCCTTAATCACAGCCTCCGTCTGAACTGGATCGATAAAAATCGGATGGATTGATTGGATCGATTGATTTGAGTCAAAAATTGGGCGCCTACATATTTCCAAGAACATTTTCCAATAGTTTGAAGTTGGACAACTGTTCTTAACGCCCTTTATGACCTTAGAGAGTCATGAGGTTAACCAATTACAAAACTCACAATCTTACAGTATTCGTATTCACAAATGGATTAGATAAATGGATACGACTGCTTAGTGAAAAAAGGAAATAAACGTTTCAAATGACTAGCAAGGCTTAGTCGTATGTTCTTAAAGCCGGATTATTTCGTTGATGGGTTTAACTGGGATGACGGTGGATTCCAATGAAATAATGATGTCCTGTCTTCATGTTGCTAGAACAAACAAGCCACGTGAACAAAAGGGAGAATAGATGACCATGAAACTGGTTCGAGTAGCTCGGCGATCAAAGACTGGAGGGCAGATGATACAAGTGGATACGTTCATGCGCAGCTGGACATATTTTATTCATTATATGTGAAAGATTACTAACAGAATCTATAGTTTGACGTACAGTTCAGATTAAGGTACAGGCGAATTCCATTACTGCTCTGAGGACAGAGGAGTCTGAATTCATCAATATCTACCCGTATTTGGGTTTTCACGCGTATTTCCTCCACCACCTTTTTCTCCACTTTTTCCTCCACCTTTTTTCTCCACCATACCACTATTGATTGACTGACTTCAAAGAACATAAGTCAACTCACTATTAGTCTCCACTGCGCACTAAAGTTGTTCTAGGAACACTATACTTCTTAACCGCTTCATGACCATAGCCAAATCTCATGTGGCTGGAAGCCGTGCAGCCCAGTACATATCGAATTCAATGCGCACGATCGCGAAAGGGTTAACGGTCTTACGAACTGGCATTTCTCCATCACCCAAGTTGAGATGGTAGATGAATGAATGATGCTTAATTCAGCACTTTAGATCTGCTTGGTCGTGCTACTACCTCGTATTTCGATGAAACGTTAGCTCATTGACTGTGATAGGCTAATCAAAATAGAAAGAGGTAAATACTTGCTTACTTATTTGGATGGCCCGTCTTCACTACTTGTGCGGGCTCCGGTACAATTTCCATTTCATTTTTTTATAAAATTATCTTTATTATGAATAATTATAGTTGTAATATATTACGTTGTTCAGAAATAATTTAGCGTTTTTAACCATATTATACAACCACAATGATGCTCTCAGCATTTCGCATTATACCCTGCCGTGAAAAATTATAGCAGGCAACAAATAAAAAGTTACTCGCAGATCTTTAGTCACGATGCTCACACACGAGTCAAGAACACAAGCGCGCAAAACTCTCGAGGCGTTCTGGATTATTTCCAGAAATCCGAAAATGAACCGCAGGGAAGAATGCCTCTTTATCACGCGTGATATTGGGCAGTACATAAGCCTGTTATTCTGATCGGAGAGGCACATTACGCTTCCATGTAAATTCTGTGCGGTCGGTCTTCACGCGACATGCTCAGTGGAAGACTCATAGAAGCAGTAAGTGTGCAGAGCTATGCTAAATGTGATTGAAATCTTGGTTTAGCGTTTTCTCTGTTTGGTTATGGAGGTGTTTGGCCGAATAGATTGTTGTCAACTTGACCTTTCGAAGCTCTGAGGAAGGCGAAATCCGCCGAAATGTCAGCTTGTACGTAAATAAAGAAATAACATAACACCTCGTGTTTGCTGAACAGAAGTAGAAAGAATTATTCAATCAATGCTGAGGTTAATAGAAAGTCGGACATGGGAGTTAAAAAGTTAGTATTACATATTTTTTTACAGTAATCGCGAGGTTGTTATTCAGCACACGTTTACTTCCCCAAAAATATAACACACACAATACAACGGTAGCTGACGTTTCGGCAGTATCGCCTTCTTCAGAGCCTGGAAGGGTATACTGATACGGAATTTGCTAGGTCAAAGCTTCAACAACGCAAACAGAAAGATGAAAATCTGAACAATAATTGCACAATAAGCGCGATTAGCGGCTTCTCGAAAAACCCACCGTTTTCACCTGCCTTCCACCAAGGAAGAACAGCGGCCTAGAGTCGCATATGATTGATTACTGCACCACTCCACATCTAAAATCAGCTCTGAGACATGGGCCTAGATCTCAAGGCATTCTTCCCTGATATTCGTTCTCGGATTTTTGGAATTTATCCAAAAAGCCTTAAGAAATTTGCGCGTTGGTGTTTTCGTCTCCCGTGCGATGATAGCGACTTTCACATCAAAATCTTCTCCGCTATGATTTTGTATCGTTTGCGTGCCTAGTGGGGTGCCTTCTTTTGATTTTCGTTTGCCATCTAAGTGTTCTTGGTGTTCTAGGTGAAACACCAAATTGCGTAATTTGCCCTAACGGCATGGACGGTGACTGCATGAGTTCAGGTACGACATACCTGATTTCTTGCAGTACTTGCGGAGACGAATCTGTGATAAGGGGGAGAATTCGTAGTTATTCCCCGCCATCTAGATGTTAAGATATGGTGATATCGGTGCTCGCGCAATTATTGTTCAGATTTTCATCATTTTGTTTGCGTTGTTGATGCTTTTGACCTAGTAAATTCCGTATCAGTGTACCCTTCCAGACTCTGAAGAAGGCGTTACTGCCGAATCGTCAGCTACCGTTGTGTTGTATGCGTTATATTTGTAAGGAAGTAAAGGTGTGCTGAATAACAACCTCGCGATTACCGTAAAAAAGAGAACAACAGATTTATAATCCAATACCGAGGTTAGTAGAAAGCCGAACCTGGGAACTCTTAGTATTACATTATTTAAAATGTCGTAACTTGATTCAGATAAAACTTCATTAATCAAAGTAAAAATCGTTCAATTCTACACATTTTTGCCAATGAGAAACGAGTTTACTTATTCCAGTAACACAGAATTCTGGAGTTCTGGAAGTGATGAATTCGTTGACGGCATTTTTTGCGTCATCGAGGTTCGCGAATCATTTCTCGCACAGAAAGTTGCCAAGATGCTTGAAGAAGTGATACTCGATAGACGACGGGGCTAGTGAATATGGCGGATGAGGCAAAGTTTCGTAGCCCAACTCGTTCATTTTCTTCAGCGCTGGTTCCACAACATTATGCTGGGCGTTGTCAAGAAGGATTAGTCCTTCCCTGTTGACTAATGCCGGTCGTTGTTATTGGAGTTTACGGTGCATTTCGTCGATTTGTTGGCAGCACTTCTCTGCCGTAATCGATTCATCCGGATTCACCGTCTGAAGACCACCAAACAGTCACCATAACCTTTCTCGGTGCAATCTCCGCTTTGGGAAATGCTGTGGAGTCTGATCGCAATCCAACCATTGAGCTGAATATCGCCGGTTGTCGTAGTGAATCCACTTATCGTCGCAGATTACAATTCCACCAAGAATAGGGTCAGTGCACAGAATAAGAGCAGACCACACTTCAAAACGATTATTTTTCTTTTATTATCGTTTAATTCGGGTAGCACCCACTTGTCGAGTTTTTCTCGTCTTCTCTATTCGATTGAAAACAAAACCAACACCACACTTGGTCACACCTCAGCATGGATATTAAAGGGAGGAAGGCGATAACGTCTTTGCGGTCCCGAAGCGACGATTTCCACAATGAGTACAGTAATCCCGCCTGAGTAGCAGATATGGTCCAGGTACTTTGAGTGAGACCTACACTATGAGTATGTTTATGTAAAGTCAGTTTTCATTTCTTGGTGTCTGTGTTCTGGTGAGTTCTTCATTTTTGTGTTGAGAATATGATGTCCATGTTCCACTTATTGTGTATTTCTTCATTTCAATGGCTTATCGACGTTTGAAAGATGCATTTGGCCGTTTTGGTCACTGGCAACACTTTTTCCTTCGTGGCACTGTTCTTCAGCAGTGCTGGATTTTCACAGTTATTGGATCTCTTTTTCTTTGCAACTTTTATTTCGATAGAATTGGTTTACAATCTTGATTAGTATGTACCTTTAGCCTTCTTCTTCACCTTGAGCGATTTTGCACTGCACTCCTTGCAAATGTTCGGTTATGTTTTTCTTTATTTATTCTTGTTAAATTGGGCACTTACTTTTGTATCCCCACTTATCCGAATCGTTTGTATGTCTAGGTTTTTTTTCTTTTTATGGCATAGACTTTGTTCTTGAGGTAAATATGGCGCCGAGAGGTAACCAAATGTTGGGCAATGCCCACTTCCGCAAACATTGGATGAAACGTATAAAGACCTGGTTCAATCAACCGGGTCGTAAACTTCGAAGACGTGAAAATCGACGGAAGAAAGCCGTTGCCATATCACCCCGTCCAGTTGCGGGTTTGCTCAGGTGATTTTCAATGCTCCAGTTATAGTTTGGTCATAATTTACAGCTTATGGTTATGAAACTATATTATTTCTTGGATGTGACATTCCACATTGTCATCATCAAATTCATCATGGCCATTTTTTTTCTGTGTTCACACGGTGATGCTTGCTTCAGTTTTGCAGTTTCGTTTAGGTCTGTTGTTCGTTGTCCTACTCAGCGATACAACAGAAAGGTCAGACTTGGACGCGGTTTCACTCTTGATGAACTGAAAGCTGTTGGTATTGGTAAACGGGAAGCCAGAACCATCGGTATTGCTGTTGACTACAGAAGAACCAACAGATCGCTTGAAAGTCTTCAGGTCGGTAATTCCTATTATAGCTTATATTACTGCGTGGTACCAGCTATTCTAAGCATTTTTGCTTTCAATATCCTAGAAATCACGCGAGAGTAATTGAATACGTTTGACACAGACAGTAAATGTTGCTGAATGTGATAGGTGTGTTTGAACAGTAACCAGTCAATTATAACTAAGTGTTCTTGCTTTATAAGTATTAAATAAATACACCTTTACAGGCTAATGTTGAGCGTCTAAAAGAATATAAGTCAAGGTTGATTCTGTTTCCCAAGAAACTCAGTGCACCACGCAAAGGTGACAGTAATGTGAGTTTATTCGTTGTTTCGTTTTTCAATCAGCACGGTACCAGCTATTCCTTACTGTTAGTGTATGGGGTTTCCTAGAAACCGTGCAATATAGAAACTGGGTTAGTTTGACACTTATGTCTGATCAACGGTGTGAGTGAAAGGTTTTCTCATACATTTTTTCTCCTTTGTCCATCCAGTGACTTGTTTTTCTGTTGTCTTGTGTGTTGTTCAAATTTGTTCCTTTAATGCACCACTGACATAGTGCTACTTTAGCCAGAAGAACTCAAGGTGGCTGCACAGCTTCATGGTGACATTATGCCCGTTTCCAATGTTATTCAATATGAACCTCCTCGCGCTATCACGGAAGCCGAACGGAAGATCGAAATTTATCGCCACCTTAGAAGAGTTCGTGCCGACAAGAAGTATGCTGGTATTCGTGAAAAGAGGGCAAGAGAAGTTGCGGACGAAAACAAGTAAATTGTTAGTTGACTTGTGTTTTTACATAAATTTGTTATACTACTTTGTTATTTGTCTTTACACTTTGAGCGGGCACTTCTAAAACAAAGGTGTTTGTTCGATTTAAAATAAATGAGTTTATGGCATCTGTGGATGTGCAGTCGAATCTATGTTGAATTTCTTACGAAATAAATGGCGTTGTGGATGCATGAACAAATCTCAGGGTTAAGTATATTTCACCAAAATCATATAGCCTTTTCAGAAGTGTTCTCAGTGTTGGCATTTCCTTAGTTGATATGGGTAGTTATTTCTTGTAAGAACTATGTTTTTGTGACTGCTTTCCTTTACAAAAGTGTGGACAGTGTTGTTGTCTGACTATTGTTAACATTTGGAAAACTAGTCCCGCGTCTCTTTTAAACACGTTTACAGCTTTTGTGGATTTTTCATTAGTCTTTGCCATGAACAAAAACTGGTTGGCCACCATTTTACGTTCAACTTTTGGCTTAACACCTTGCCAGTAACATGAATTTTTCCATTGTTGTCCTCTTGTCTGTCAGAGTGAGTGGTTGCCACTCTTGCGTTGAATTTTTAATTTTTCTTTATTCTAACAACACGACGGGGGAATTTTTTTCTAGGTTTACCATAACCTCGGTCTCTGAAAGGTATAGAAAAGGAAAAAACTTAGCGAAAATGGTTGAGATTCCTCGTAGAGGGGGAAACATTTCAGTACAAAGAAAGAAAAAAAAAGTGTAAAGTGAAGTAGTTGAAGATGTGTCGTACATGTGGGGCTGTGCCCACAAGATTGTTTTATTACAAGGGTTGTACGTGTATTATGCTGAAGGGATTCAAATAGTTTGGAACAACAATGTCTTCAGGTACCCTTTATTTGCTTCACAAAGTGGTTGCACTTCTAGGAATTATGAGTGGCTGGTCCACTTCGCGTTTTGTTTGTTTCCAGATTGAGGTGTTATTGAATTGGCTGTAGTCTGAAGGTACGATCGGGATGTAATGGGAAGTATGTTTTTGTAGTAGTAGAAATATCATCAATGAGTATCACTTTGCTTGGCTGTATGCAGGTGGAAGACGGGGAAGAGGGAAAGTACCATAAAGATGCTTTGATCGGCAAAATTCTTTCTTTAAAGAAATGTGGGGATGACATAAAAATATGAATTAGAACAGACAGAAAAATTCATAACTGGGAGAATTTGATGTGGAGAATTGTACTTTGGGAGTTTTATTTCCAATTAACTGTTTTCTTAGTGAGCAAATGCTGGATTGTTATTGCAGCACGTAGTTATTTATTCGTTCCTATTTCTGTTTGTGCTGTTTTCTTTGGAAAAGCAGAAATCCTTAACGAGGCGGTGAGTACCACTTGCTGGCATTGTAGCGTTCCATGAGCTTGTGGAAGATTCGAAGTTGTCTTCTAGCACAAATCGACGAAATACAGCACTCCTTTCCGATCTACAAACGCATCGGCTATTGGTCGGTATGACTTAAGTTCACGTTTATTTATATTTTATATTGATTTATCTGATCTACTGATTGCTACTGATTAATTGGCGATGATCATCATATCATAAGTCTTATTTTTGAAACTCAAGAAATACAGTACTGTTGGAGGGAGAGTCGAAAAATTTTCAATATTATACATAAAGTGATTTGTGCTCCTCAGATGAATCCCGCTGACGAGTGCTTGGCAGCGTTAGTTAGAAAACTAGCTGAGAAATACTCAGAGAAAGGGAGGGCCTCAGTGGTGCAATGTATAATATGCGAACACCTGGGAAGGGTAATCGTGGTTCTACGTCGCCCGGGGTCCAAATCTTGCGAATATTTCAGCATCGTTGTGGTTGTATTTTACATCATATCTTACCATGAAAATTTATAGTAGGCAGCAAATAAAAAGGTTAACATCGTTCATACAGTTCGTCTATTTGTATCACCTTAAGGTCGTTAAGGACAAAATTTTTTAGTTATTATCCGTTAATTTATGTTCATTTCAAATTGATGTCTGTTTTATTTAAGACTTTGGAAGAAAACGCGTTTAGCGTTAGTTAGAATTTGTAGAAACAGATTGTTAACTGGAACGTATGACTGAATCGTGGATGGTATTCAATGGATCTTTTGTCATTAAGATTTCGTCGACGTTTTTCGTTCGACTTATTTAGTTTTTAATGGAATTCGTTCTCAGATATGTAATCAGTAAAAAGAATGAATCGTGAAGTAACTAACATGTTTGCATTCGTGGTAGCTCGGAACGCAAGTAGAGCTCGCAATCGTGAAATTCGTGTGACCGGTCGTCCTCCAGACAAACCTGGAAGCAGCAAACTTGTAATTATTTTACTAGTCCCATTGACGTTGACATGTGATAGCTAATAGCACCTATAGGTTTAAACACGGCTGAGAGAAAGGTGGAACGGAGGATCCTCATGGTGTGGTAGTGAAGACGTTAGCCCCAGGAAGGGGTAATGACGTTCGCCATGAACGACGGTTAACCCTGGCATTGCCCTGCTTTTAGCTGGCATTCCAACGGCATTGTCTAGCTATGCCAGTTCATGAGTAGCTCTATCGAAGAGATGAACTTAACACTTAAACACCTCTTGTCTACAATAAGGTAAGAAGCACTAGACAGTGAAGCCAAGTATAGTCAATGAAATGTAAATATTTAACCTCTTTATGTTTTGTATATTTCGATTAGGAGGAATTTCGAAGGATTCCAGTGATGATGGAAAAGTTCCAGTCGTTTTCTTGGGGATAGCGATTGTTTGATTTATCTTTTGCTTGATTTTCTTTCGATCTTTCATTAGTGGAATACACTTGTAATGAAGTGCCACATTAGCAAATTTCCTTCTAATTTAACTTACAATGCACAAACACTTCCGTTATCTTCACATACTGTTTCCTCTACATAATAGCGATATTTGTTCCGAAACATGGCGTCGTCATCGTGGCCAAGCCAGGCTAAAATTGTACAACTATGAAGCGTTGCCAACTGTGATAGACAACTACTAATGGTCTTGGTAAAACTACTACTTGAATGAATCGAACAACTGAATTACATCAGTAATAATGTTCTATTGCGAAAATCTTTATAGTCAGTACTTCTTCATATGACCCCTATGTCACCACCTAGAGCCTATATTCATTCGTACTCTAGGATGGCCGAATAAGCTTCACTTCCTCGATAAATAGGAAAATTATTACAGCAGCTCTCCTACGAGTCTTTCTGCTTTAGCTGTTTCCCTAAGGCCTAAGTATACAAAGGCTTAAGTTATCACGCCCTTCCGGAGTACATACTATGCTAACCTGTTCCAGATGAGGTTAAATCAAATCGAATCAGTAATCACACCAGAAAAAGCAGAGGTTTGTTACGATAGCTTATGAATTAGAAGACTTGAGTATTGATACAGCACATCTGGACGCTCTCAACAAAAGATTCCGAGGTTTCTTCTTTCATTTTGAAAGACCAAGTGAAATCGCGCGAAACCAACGTTTTCACGAAATTCGCCTTATGATCCTTCCATATCATCCGATAGTATAGTCCTGACAATGACACGTATGCAGAATAGTCATTGTAGTAAAGAATTAAAAATGAAATTTGGAAGTTTGTTGAGAGAAGAGGATAGTGTTGAGTGATGCACCGATGGGTCAATCCTTGGCTAGCCTCATTTTAACTGACGGTGACTGGATGGAGTTACACCTCAGCTCCAGAATCAACGCTGATCACTTTTTGTGGGGCCGAAAACGGTCGTACACGAATTTGAATAAACTTAAACACAGAACAGTTTCCGTTCGACTATTTTTAACATCGTGTACTATTCCATACATTAACTCCAAAGTTCACCACCCACCACAAAGCATTTATAACTGGGCAACGAATAGAAAACGTGCTTAATGAGGAACGACAGAGCCTGTAGAAATTTAATCATTTGTACACAATTCAGAATTGCTGGAATCCATGATGCTATGAAGCTCTCTAAAGCTCCTGACGTTGATCAATTTCTGAGCGTTGCGCCATGCATTCGACTTCATTGAGCATCGTTGTAGGTGATTGAATGCAAATCTGGCCTTCACAATAACTCGAGGTGGCCTACCGATGTTCGAGCCAGTGCTGCTGTCCTCCCAGACAAGTTTGGTACCAGTTTGCCGACCCCGGATTAATGGAAGGCTTGCTGGGCCATGGGTGCGGGGGTCGATTCGACGTGTGTGCTGCAGGGCGCCTCCGACCACTGCGCCACACGCGCTACATATCCATGCTATGGTGACAAAGATATGAAGTGTTGATCGTTCGTTTTTATTGATTTGCTCACTATCGTTACGCTGTTTTGAGTGCAATCACAACGAGTGATAAAGCACTGTTAACGTTTCCACCTAACTGCTTAGCAATTCCCTCTTCTTTCGTCCTAGGTCATTCTATCACAACACAATTTTGAGCTGACCTCGTCCACAAAACATAGTAGATGGTTCTTGTCGAAGAAACAGCACGCACCAAACCGCGCGCCAATGAGGATATCGATTGGAGGCACAGCGTGAGAGCTCGAGGGGCTGGTATATAAGAACCGCTCGATTGTCGTTTCCCATACGACTGCTGTTTGCTGTTCTGAGACTGTCAACATGTCCGGACGTGGTAAAGGAGGCAAAGGGCTCGGTAAAGGAGGAGCTAAACGCCATCGTAAAGTGCTCAGAGACAACATCCAGGGAATCACCAAGCCGGCTATTCGTCGTCTGGCTCGTCGTGGTGGAGTGAAACGCATTTCTGGACTGATCTATGAGGAAACTCGTGGAGTGCTGAAGGTTTTCCTCGAGAACGTCATTAGAGATGCCGTCACCTACTGTGAGCATGCGAAGAGAAAGACAGTGACGGCCATGGATGTCGTGTACGCGCTCAAACGTCAAGGACGTACACTGTACGGTTTCGGAGGATAAGGAAGCTTCGTAATCGATAACTCTAACCCAACGGCCCTCTTTAGGGCCACATTAATTGCTGTTTTGTGATGTAGTGTACTCGAGGAAATAAAACGTTGTTGATTAAAGTGTTACTTTGCCTTCCGTTAAAGTGTTAAAAGTCCTAATACTCCAATCGAAAATCATTAGTCCATGAATAAGTAGATTGGGTCTGTTTATCATAGGTCAACGTGTAGAATATGGGCCTAAGTTGAGCTCTAGGCTCACCTACCTTCATGTTTGGTCGCAAACTTTGCAAAGGCGTTGGGGCGGTAGTTGTCGCTTAGGATTGCGAAGATCAAGGCACCGGAGAACAACAAGTCTCAGCGTTAGGTGTTGTTAGGGCAGCATCTCTAAGGGATGTGGATGTAGGATGTGGAGTTCAAAATATTGAATGTCGAATGGAATGTTAAACGAGTCAAAGTGGTAACTAAGCCTTAAGGTAGAAGCGTACGGATGATAACAAGGTGTTTTGTATCCGTCCCGAGGACTCTCCATAGTTGGTACGCTGCTTATGCACTTTACCTCTACACATGCACGATCAAGGTAAACTCTGATCGACTGGAGGTGTTAGCGATACGGCCGTAATTTAACTACATTCCGTTAAGCTGCGAACAAACGATATCTGCTGCCCCTTATAGTTCGCACTCTATTGATCCTCGTCATGCAGCGGGTCTGTCCTGGAGTCGTTCGTCCGCGACTGCGTCCCCATTCTGTCATCTCGCGCTATAATTCAAACGAGCGTCACCGCGCCGCCCGACCGCCCCGCATGATTGGTCGGCGCCGCAAAGTGCGATTTGCACAACAACCGAGTTATTGCGAGAATTTCGATGTGGACTGTGAAGTTGTAAACAACACCATTGCAATAGGACATTGGAAACTCACGGCGAGACAATACATACAGCGCAGTCGATTTCGCAGAAAGAGATGAAGTGGAACCACCGACTCGTATTTCCCATGGTACGAATTGGCATGTGTCCTCTGGTTTTCCGGAAGATTTTGAAAAATTTCGCCTACTAAGCCTTCTTGGCAATTTGCCACTTTCAGTTTTGTTGATAACACATCCGAGCTAATAAACACCTTTCTGTGTTCAGAAGAGTCGCGAAGTCTTACAGCAGTGCGTGAAAAATGAAAGCGCTTACAACAATCACAACACTAATGCCCATAGAAAACGAACATTCCCAAGATCCAATATTCATGGCTACGCGTGTACTGCTACGAACACAACGAACAATAGATAATTCCTTTATACGTTAACGACACGAATGAAATACATAATCCTTATCGAAACAACGTCATAGTCAAGGCATTTGACAATGGTTGTGGCCCTAAAGAGGGCCGTTGGGTTAAATTTAGGCTCGGGCAAACCTGGGTGAGCACTACTCCTTCTCTCCACCAGTCTTCTTGGGCAGCAGCACAGCTTGAATGTTGGGCAGAACTCCTCCCTGGGCGATTGTTACTCCTGAGAGCAGTTTGTTGAGCTCCTCATCATTGCGTACGGCCAACTGGAGATGACGTGGATTGATTCTGGTCTTCTTGTTATCACGGGCCGCATTACCAGCCAACTCCAGGACTTCGGCGGCCAGATATTCCAGGACGGCAGCGAGGTACACGGGAGCTCCACCACCGATCCTGCCGGCGTAGTTGCCTTTGCGAAGCATTCGGTGAAGTCGTCCAACGGGGAACTGGAGCCCAGCGCGCGCTGATCTTGACTTCGATTTGCCTCCAGTCTTTGCCTTGCCTCCTTTTCCGCGTCCTGACATTGCTACGAACTGAAACAACGAGCCGAAGCAACGAACTGCAACAGACGAACGGATGGGCGGTGTAAAAGGTGCTATTTGAAGGGCAAACTAATCGCAAGACCCGCCTTCTACTGAATGCACGCGGGGGCGGAGTTTCCCTACAACGGCGCTATAAAATCGCTTAGTCCAGCGCATACGCCGTTCGTCTTCGCCGCAAAGAACTGCAATACTACCGAGGCCAAATATCTCAGCATTTCATNTACGGGTTATATTTCGCAACATAACTTGTCATTAAGAAGAAAAAGGCAGTAAGTAAAAGAGTTAAGATTGTGATTATAACTAGGCCTCAGCTTAACTGGGTTCAATGCCGATATTGGCTCCCCAGATCAACCCCGTTGACGGGTGATTGCTGATGCCAAAAAAGATCGATAGAAGTAGCTGAGATACACGCAAAGCGAAAGACCCGGATGGTGTAGTGGTGAAGTGCGCTGCTCCCCGGTAAGGACAACAGCGCGTGTTCGTTCTCCATTGCATACACCCGTGGTCAGGAGAAGAGTTACTGCCGAGACCGTCAGCCAAGAGAGCCAAGAAGGCAACGAGGAGCAAGTAGACTGGTTGAGTAGTGAGGAAAAGAAGAAGCATCGCAGAAAGGGGACAGACACGGGCGCATCGTTCAGGGCAATGTTCATTATCAACATCGTTTGTGAACGATCTTTTTGAACGGGTTGCTGCTGAAGCGTCACGTCTAGCGCAGTATAACAAGGGACTGACGATCTCATCGCGTGAGACCGATCGTCCTAGGAGAACTCGCGAAGCACACCGTGTCCGAGAGAACGAAGGCAGTGACCAAGTACACATCGAGCAAGTAGACCTGACTCGGACGTCGTGTTAAACTAACCCATCGACCCTCTTTAGGGCCGTAATCAATGCCGACTATATGTGAATGGTTGTTATGTTGAATTGACAAGATATCTTAAGTATGTCTGTTCTTGCTTTTCCACATTATATTGGTAGTTAACGGTGGTCAGTCCTACATTCAGGGATTTAAGTTCTTTCCAAGTTAAAGGGCATGTACATACTCGATAAGTACAAAGTGAAATCGTGAACATTGTAGAGGATTCATTAACTTCACGTAGCAATTCCCACGACGGACTTTGTAAGCTTGGCAGTGACTGGTAATTCGATGTTCTTCTTCAATAAGCAGACACGAGGTTGTTATAGAATTTATTAGGATACAATAGCTGACGTTTCGGCGGTTTCGCCTTCTTCAGAGCTGTTTATTTGTTGTAAGTATCTAAGTTAGTTGATGGATAGGAGCCGCACTGAGTAATGCATGGGGAGTTATCGCATATCGCAATTGTTAGTGGAATATAGGCCTTCGAGTTAGTTATCGACACAGCCGCTGTTGACGATGCTTTTGCAGGAGAGAAGTAGTTTATCGTTCTCCGAATCCCATGCTATACCCAGGACCTTTTGTTGATTGCTTAATGTCAAGTCCTTTGAGGGAATCTGCCGAACAGGTTCTTTATTGTTCGACATAAATTCTCGTAAATTCATGCCCAAATCTTTGAAAATTTGCTTTGATTGCTTAAATTTGTCCATGGCCACTTCTAATGACGAACATGTGACAATAACGTTATCGACATATGTATTGTTCGTAAGTTCGTGAGCCAATGTTGCACTGGACACTTGGGTCTCTAAGTGATGCTTAATTGTTCCTGCTAATAGGAGCGGCGAACAATTGAGGCCAAAAGTTACCCGCGTGAATCTGTAGGTAACTATGTTTTTTGGCTCGCAAGATTGTGAGATGTCGCGAACCCATAGAAACCGTGTAGCATCTCTATCGTGCTCGTGGAGTCGTACTTGCAAGAATGCTTTCTCTACGTTCGCAATCATTGCAATATTTCCTATTCGAAAACGGAGTAGAATATCGTATATTTGAGGGAGGAAAACTGGCCCTTGGTGGAGGACATCATTTAATGTGGGCGCTGATAATGGATGCGCGGATGTATCGTAAACGATTCGTAATTTTGTAGTCTCCTTATGTGGAGTTACCACGGCGCGATGCGGTAGGTAGTGAATAATTACACCTTGTTGGCGTATCGATTCATCGACTTCCTCAATAATGTTCTCGTTTAGTTGCTGCATTATGGTTTCGTTATATTTCTCTAGCAGGGGAGGATTTTTCGTTAGTGTGGCGATTGTCGCCTGTAGTCGCCGAAATGCCATGCATTTGTTCTCAGGGAGTGTGGTTGAATTGTTCTTCCACGGAAGTCTCGCATAGTAACCATCCTCACGTCTCTCTATAGTTTTCGCAAACTGTTTCCATATTTCAGCGTTTTGCTGCTCTTGGTTTTTTAAATTCGATCCCGTAAATTCGTTGATTCCTGATGATTCTAGTCTTCCCATGATTGTTGTTCATAAGGTTCAGGATTGGGTGCCGTAGTCTCTGTGACAAGGAGTGTACTTTCTTGTGATTGCATGTACCGCTTGTGGTGGGCTCCTACTACGAGATAGCCCAGTTTAGAGGGAATTAACGTTAACATCGATGGTAATGTTTTGTTCGGTCCTAGGTTACCGTCAGGTAGAGAAAATACATCAGAGCATCCAAGGAGGATTTGTGGGTGTATGCTGTTACAGTCAGGATCGATCGACAGTTCAATATTACTATAACAAAGAAACTTCTTATCCTTTTGGCTGAGACATATACGTTTTAATGGTTTGATGATGGTCTCGATCCTAGTTACTGTGATTTCATGTTGTGTTCCATAGACATCCCACAATTTTACTGCGGTAATTCCACAGTTCTTTTTCCCTTTGCTAAGAGCTCCGAATGTGTTATTGGATAATTCTACGGAATCAGTATTTCGTAAATGAAGCCGTTCAGCCAGTTCATTGGTGATGAATGAAAGATCGGATCCTGTATCAAGCAAGAGACGTACTGGTTCGCTTGTCTGAGTGAATGGAATGAAGATTCGGGCCTGTCCTGCCAATACTTGGACATTCGTTGTATCTTATTTTATCGCGTGTAGTATGACCGTATCGTTCTGTTAGTTCTGTTGGGATTCTACTGTATTGGTTCTTGATGGCGCAGTCTTTTTGCTTTTAGTGGTGTTGACAGGCCGCGTTTGTTTGTCTCCTTGGCCTACTTCTGATTGATTATGCTGTTCTTTTGACAGTTGTTGCTGCGTACAAATAGACGTGTGATGTCCACGTTTACCGCACACACTCGGCAGGACCCGCTCTTGCAAGCTGATGTTTGGTGAAACCTTGATCCACAGTTAAAGCAAAGGTTCCGTTTTCTCATAACCTGCACTTTTTCTTCATACGTTCGCACTCCTTTGCAGTCAACTGGGAAATGTCCACTCGTCTCACAGTAGAAACATGGATAAATTCTGGTTGTGGTCAAGTGGGTTTGAGGCATAAAAGGTTGCTGTAGAGGTCTATTTATAGTGCCTCTCAACTCTGATGTAATGCTGACGTTTCTGCTCAGCTGTTGTATCTTGAGCTCCTTGCTTACATATTCATTGATAGAGTTTAAAAGATCTTCGGTTTTGTATGTTTTATCCGACTTTCGACTCCTTTGATCCAGTGCGTGTCTTTGAATATCTCTCGTAAATTTCGTAATAAGTTGATTTTGTAGGTACGTGGTGTCCACGGATTCTCCATTGTGTGCCAATTGGCTGATTACGGAGAACAAATGCTCACACAATGTCTGTTGATCTTCAAGACGGGGGATGTTCGCTTTGGTCGTCTGTACTCTGTTGAGTAGTTCGTCTACGAGATCTTGTTTGTTACCGTACTTATTCTTTAGATGAGTGATAACCATCTGGTAAGACTCTCCCGTTATTCTGTATTGGTTAGCGAAAGCTTTCGCTTTCCCTTCAAGAGAATCTAGTAAATAGTTCATTTTCAAGAAGTCGTCCATTCTTTGTGAGTGCACTGAGTAGTTGAATGCTTCCCAAAATGTGTCCCACTCCTATAGTTTCCCGCTGAATTTTGGGGTAGAAATAGGTGGCAGGTTTACTGCTGGAGAGCTGAAATTTGAGCTACTCGAAACGTTTTCCTTTGCATCTTCTAAAGTTTTTTTTAGTTTGAAGAACTCGAAGAGATAACGCGTTGCTCTATCAAGTAGCTCAAGTGTTTTTTCGGTCTTTGCATTAATTCTCTCACGTGCATCATCTATTGATGAGATATTAGAATCAAGATGATCCGCTTCTTCACTGTACTTATCCAGTGCTGTCTGGACATTTTCCATTTCGAATCGGATGGCGAGAGTTGCATCTGTGATCCTTTTCCTTAGCGTATTGACGTACGAAATGCAGTTGGCTTCATCATAGGGAAGCTCCACTTGGGACGATGCTAGGTTTTCACTATCGTCAAGATTACTTAGGAGACGGTTAGCCCTTGTTAAAGCCCCTTGACGTGATGATATTGAGGAATCATTATATAGCGAATGTAAACGTATTGGTTTCCCGGTTTGCGACTGATTGTCCTGTGACTTCATAGCAGTAGTTCGGTCCTTGCAGCAGACTCTATTGATTTGGCCAATGCACCAAATAAAACATCGCAGTTGTTACCGGAATATAGGCCTTCGAGTTAGTTATCGACACCGAATAACCACTAGCCTTAAACAGAATGCTCGACATCGTGATATGACGCCACGCGGGACTTTTCGTAGTTGACACAGGACAACAGCTTTCGACACTCAAACTTGGGATTAAATCTTTATATACATAAGGGCAAAAAACCAATACAATAGGTATAACGGTGAAAGGAACACTGGCGTAAGAATAAGGCAATCAAGTCGAACGTAAGACTCCCAAAAGCACCTCCCAAGTCTCCAAAAAAGAGGCGGTGCTCGTCCGGGCGTGGCTACGTCCAAGCGAGGGTCAACGCCCGGGTCGCGGGGTCCATTCCCCAAGCAATGAGACGTACTCAGCAGCATGCCTGGTGGTGTGACCGATGGACACGTGATGCTGTGTCTAAAGGTGTTGTGGCAAAGGCCGTCTCTATCGACC